AAAAAAAAAAAAAAAAAAAAGAAAAAGAAAAGAAAAGAAAAAGAAAAGTAATGAGGCTAATATTGATTGGACTGTAGTCATTTAACCCATCAGAAACCCACCCAATTCTAACTGATCTCCATCTTATAACTGGCTTTGTCAAATCCCTGGTCGAAAACCAGTAGTCAACACACACTGCATTTTCTCCAACACCCTTTGACCCTGCCAAGGAAGAAAACAAAGCAGAGCTTAGCGAAGCAGCCCACGCTGATTGCTGGCATTTGCCACTTCCATGGGGCCTACTGTGTTCACAAAGAGAATTTATGGTTACAACACGCACATGAATATTAATTCACTTTTGCAGTAGAAGCAAAGAAATCTGGGGAACAGAATTCAAGAAGGGGGTTCAGCCTACTCGAAGTTAGGAGGATTCTCCAGTATCTATGACTAAGGGTCATAAGATGTTATAGTTTATTCTTAATATTTAGTTTATTAGTGTGGTTTCCTAGTATGCCTTCTCATGACTCATTATTTTAGGTCTTTTTAAGGACATCATAATCCTTTAAATACAAACATCAATACAATTTGATGGCATTCTTTATTTTGTGGACATTTGTTATTCTTCAGATGGTTGAAGCTTAAATGAGGCAGACAGAGATGGTTTACAAAGCCCCAGGCTGTAAATTGCACTAACCAGTGGACGACCTGTCAAGGCATGTGTTATGTGTTTGGGACTAGATCTTCAACTTCTTGGGGCAGTGAGACACGGTGAACAGAATATCAGCTTACCCCTCAGCTCTGCTTTTTTGGGGAATTCTTGGATAGGAGACAAAATGAGAGGACATTATTGCTGAAAGCATCTATAGAGAGCCTCTCAGACAGTAGTTACCAAACTGAAGTGTGCATTTGAACCATCTGGGAAGCTTGTTAAAAATGTAGGTTCTCAGCCAGGCATGGTGGCTCATGCCTGTAATCCCAACACTTTGGGAACCGAGGTGGGTAGATCACTTGAGCTCGTGAGTTCGCGACCAGCCTGGGCAACATGGCAAAACCCCATCTCTACAAGAAATACAAAAATTAGCTGGCCATAGTGGTGTGTGGCTGTAGTCCCAGCTACTTGGGAGGCTGAGGTCCCAGCTATTTGGGCTGCTGTGTGCCTGTAGTCGCAGCTACTTGGGAGGATGGCTTGAGCCTGGGAGGCAGAGGTTGCGATGAGCCAAGATTGTGCCACTGCACTGCAGCCTGGGCAATAGAGCCAGACCTTATCTTAAAAAAAAAAAAAAAAGTAGGTTCTCAGACCACCACTCTCCCAAGATGGGCACCTGGAATTGTGAACACTTCTGGGCCTCACTGGTTCCTCCTTCAGTGTCAAATGAAGGGTTAGACTCAAGGTATTCTTGAACAGGAATCTGCGTGTTGACAGTCTCCCCAGCTGGTTATGAGCCCCTGGCCCTCTGCCCCACACTTGGAGAAACACTGAGTCTACTCTCAGTTCACACTGGGGAGGACATGGAGGCCCAGGAATGCTCAATAATCTGCCGAGGTCACCTAGTGAGTGACCACAGCTCGGAGCTTCTGTTTCCTTCTGGGTAGAACAGGCCTGATGATGCTTTCCCCATTTACCATCCAAGATTGTGATGAGGCTTAAACATACGTATGTGAAAACTGTCAGGTCCTCTGCGGATACAAAGGGGAGTGACTCTTAATGGCCACTAGGCCAGGTCCTGGGAGCGTAGGTCCATGGAAAAGGAGAGAGGACACCACAACCTCCCACCAGCCCGTTCATTCCAGAACATCAAGGTGGTCCAGCATGAGGTGACCCCAGTCTTATTTGTGTATATGTCAGCCCCCACCCCAATGGGTCTTTCTCCCATGGCTGTCAATGGGAAGGTGGTGATCTTAGGGGCCCTCCTCTACAGTTGACTTGGGGGTGTCTGAGCCTCTGCAACTCACTTTTCTCTGCCCCCTTTTTTAGTGTGCTGGCTGGGACAATAGAGTGGGTTTCTCTTTGAGAAACTAGCAGGTAGATTTGGGGCAGTCACATCTACCTCCTTGACTTTATTATCAGAGCTCTTGCAATTATCATGCCCCTTGCTTACAAAACTCCTTCCTGCAGGTCTCCACGTGGCCCCCTTTCCACCTCCTTCAGGCCTTGGCTCAAATGTCCACTTTGCAGTGAGGTCTTCCTGGACTTCCAATCCACTGTTCACATTTTATTTTATTTATTTATTTATTATTTATTTATTTATATTTTGTAGAGATGGGGTCTCAGTCTGTTGCTCAGAATGGAGTGCAGTGGCATGAACATAGCTCACTGCAGCCTCAACCTCCTGGGCTCAAGTGGTTCTCTCACCTTGGCCTTCTGAGTAGCTGGTACTACAGTACACAGCCCCAGGCCTAGCTAGTTTTTTAAACTTATTTTTTTAGAGACTTGGTCTTGCTATGTTGCCCAGGCTGGTCTTGAACTTCTGGCCTCCAGCAATCCTCTCACCTCAGCCTCCTGAGTAGCTGAAATTACAGGTGTGAGTCACCACGCTCAGCTCTGATTTCTTTTTATCCATAGCATTCACCACCACCTGACTGAGTGGTATTTTACTTTGTTGTTCATTTATTGTCTCCCTCCCCACTCTACCACATAAGCTTCAAGAGGGCAGGGATCCAGTGAAATTTCTCAGCACCTACTCTAAGCCAGTCACAGCTTTAGGCACTGGGGAGCCGGAGATGAGCTGGGTGTGGAGCCCCCCTCCAGCAGCTGGCCATGCAGCAGAGGCATGCCCAGTGGGGCTCTGGGACTGTACAGGTAGGGGAAGCTGGTACCCGTGTAGAGGTGGCTGAGGCCCAGGCTGAGTTCAGGCAGGTAGGTGTGTTTCTGCCCTGGCTGTTCTCTGTCCTTCAGTGCCGCTCTAAGGTGCACTGTACTGGGCCAGGGCCCTGAACTAGGAAGCAGGTTGGGGCTGGGTGTGGCCCACAGCTGACTTTCCATGGGACCTTGGACAGATCACTTCCTGGTGCAAGCTTCATTTTTCTTATCTGTAAAAAGAAGAAAATCCTATCACTAACTGCAATTTGGGTTATTTTAATGGGAAAGCCTCTCAGGGGCCTGCAAGCCCTTCCTCCTTCAAAGCGGGGCCAGATGAAAGGAAGACTTGTTCCGAGGCTCCTCTGACAGATCCGATAAAGCTCTCTGGCCTTGGCTGCGCGTGGCCCCTGGGATGGTTCCCATTTTTATTGCTCTCGGCACAGAAGCACAGTGGAGCTTTGATGACGAAAGAGGCCCTTTGCTTTGTCTCCTTGTGGCCTTTACCTGACAAAGGCAGCTTTCACTGCTCCCATTCTCCCCCAGCTTGCTTTGTGTTCCTAACCCCTGACCTGAAAGGCCTGGAGCCCTCCAAGGGCCTGGCCACGGCATGGCAGCGCTGAGGATCTAGATGGAGGAAAGCAAAGACGCAGATGCAGAGGCCTCTCTGTTCCCTGCACCGGGGTCCCTGCGGGTGACATGATCTCTCTTCGGCTTCCCTGTTCCAGAGGTCAGTTGCAGAGGCATATATCCCATTACTCAGCCTTGCAATCTATAACTTCTTTGTGCCTTGTGTCTTACAGAAATTTAAAGAATATGTGAATGGCAGTAACCTCATCACCAAGCTGCAGGCCAAGCACGATTTACTCAAGCAGACCCTGGGCGAAGGTGAGTGAGGTGGCGGAGGCCCTCTGGGAGGTGCTCTGTTCCCCACTGGGTTTCACTGTGTCCCCCTGATGTGTTGAGCTGCTTAAGCTTGAGACAGCAGGCATCTGGCAGAATGAATCTGGACTGACCAGGACTGGGCAGGCTGGGAAAATCACCTTGGTACAGATGCCTTGGGGGTACAATCTGGCTATAGAAAACAAAGGGTGTGACTTGCTTTTTGATTAATAGAAAGAAAAAATAAATAAAAAAAGAAAAAGAAAATAGAGGGCAACCACAAGCCTTAGTTTAGGTTGGCAGGGACAGTCCAAGGCAAACTGATAGAGGGGCATCCATCAGGTAGGGAATGGGAATCCAGGGCCTCAGAGGCCGGCACTGACATTTTTCAGCAGACACTGTTTGCAAGGAATACTACTGGAGTGTCTGGCCAGGGTTCTAGGTCCAGAGAAGGAAAATCCACGTAAGTCAGGGTTTGGCCCTTGAGGGACCTGATGACCAGGCTTAAAGCCACTCAATGCCTTCCAGTGGCAGTTGGAATAAAATCCCAGCTGCTGTCATGGCACGTGAGGCCTTATAGCACTTAGCTTCTGCCTGCTTCCCTGACCTCGTCGGTCATTCTCCCTTTCCTTACTATGCTGCAGCCACACTGAGCAAATTTCTGCCCTTCAGGACTCACCAAGCTTGTTCCTGCCCCAGGGCCTTTGCATCTGCATGGGTAACCACCACCCAAATCGGGGGATAGAGCTTTTCAATTACACTCAAAAATTCCCTTGCGCTCCTTTGCAGTCAGCCCCCCATGCTCTACTCTGATCTGATTTCTGTCCCTGCAGATTCGTTTTGTGTGTTCTAGGTAGTAAGAGCGGGGAAACTTTGGGTGCTGACGGAAATAAATATTCCATATCCTGATTTGAGTTACATGGGGGTAGACATTTGTTAAAAACTCATTGACTAGGGGATAGGAGTGGGGAAGACTTAGTTGCAGTGAGCTTTTTCTTCATTCTTTCCCTCTAAATTTTACCCATCCCGACATTTCAGTATCGGGCCGGGGATAAAGGGGGTATGGAGGAGTGTGGGTACCAAAAAGGGAAGCAAAACAGTGAGAATGGAGGAGAAAGGGAGAAAGTCCAAGAGTGGAGCTCAAGGTGTGGGTGCCATGGGGGCAGCTTCTAAGACTAGCATTAAAGAGGAGGGCTGGTATTTATAGGCACAGGTCAGGGGGCTGTTCCTCATGAGCCAGGTAGCAAAAGGTAGGACCATATGAGTTGGTGGCTACTTGCAGTTTTGAAATTAGATGCTGAATTTGGAAAACTAATCTTTTGAAAAATAAGATCCTGGGTCTGGTGCAGTGGACTGCCCACGCCTTCTTGGCGCAGAAGCACAGTGGAGCTTGAATGAATAAAGAGGCCCTTTGCTTTGTCTTCCCGCGGCCCTTACCTGACAAAGGCAGCTTTCATTGCCGCCATTCTCCGGTGGCTTGCTTTATGTTCCCAACTCAAATGATGATGATGACGATGATGATGATGACGACGATGATGATGGTCATCATCATCGTCGTCATCATCATCACCATACTTAGTTTTGGTTGGCATAACTCCTGGTCCATTTGGTCCTCCAAGTTTATTTAGCCTTCAACTACGCCTTGCTCTAAGATTGCTCTACCAGTCCCTCTTCTGAGTTTTGAGCTGATTAGCAATAAAAAAACTCCCAAAAAATGCGTTTTCAAAAGTAGAGGGGCAGCTAAGAAAAAGCCATCTGGAAGAATCTCTGTAATCCTGTGTTTCAGTAAGCTGGCTGTGGAAAGGCTCACTGTGCTTCCTTTGACAACTGGATGGCTCTTGATAGACTGGTCAGTTCTAGAGAAGTTTTTTTTTTTTTGAAGTAAATGTTCTATTTTAAAACAGTTTTAGAGCTACAGAAAAGTTGGGAAGATAGTACAAAGTTTTCATATACTCCATATCTAGTTTCATACACTCCACATCTAGTTAATGTTTATTAACATTTTACATTAGTATACCATATTTGTCAGCATTAATGAATACTGACACATGTTATTAACTGAAGTTAATAAATTACTGCATTACTGAAAAAGATGGAACCTGAATAAATCGAGACCAAATCTCCAGTCATTTTTATATAGCCACTACACGATAAAGATACATATAGATTCTCAGGGCACTAGGTGAAAGGGGAGAATTTGCACTGACCTAAATGATAAATTGGAAATTGCCCACTGGGTGAAGGAAGAAGAGAAAAAATTCAGCAGGCCAAAGAGAGCTCAGAATCTTAGCGAATTCATCCTTCTAAGTGTCAACTGGTGATTCACCTTTTCCTGAGCGTTTTGGTTCTTCTATTCAGTAGAATTCTCTTCTAAGAGTAGGGTAGTGTTACAGCTGCATCAGTGGCCTTTTTATGCCATGTGAGGGCTATTTTGTAGTATCATGTCTAGTGCCTCAGTTTCTCTAAAGTACAGTAGCCCTCCTTTACGTGTGGTTTTGCTTTCCATGGTTTCAGTTGCTTGTGGTTATCTGTAGCCTGAAAATATGAAATGGAAAATTCCCGAAATAAACAATTCATAAGTTTTAAATTTCTCGCTGTTCTGAGTAGCGTGATGAAATGTTATGCTGTCGTGCTCCATCTTTGCCAGGATGTGACTCCTCCCTTTGTCCTGCATATCCACTCTGGATACAGTACCCGCCCACTGGCCACTTAGTAGCTGCCTTGGTTATCAGATTGAAAAAACAGAGGACATGTGGGATTTGGTACTATCCACAGTTTCAGGCATCCACTGGGGGTCTTGGAACATACTCCCCACAGATAAGTGGGGACTGCTGTACTCTTTTGACAGGATAGCTCAAGGAAACTACAAGTTAGATGAAACCCATGGTCTTTGGGGTCAGCTTTACTTAGAAGCGGATTTGAGAACATGATTGACCCCAAACATACAAGTCAAAAAGCTTCCAGGTGCTTGGCAAATGGCATTCCCTGTTACAAAGGATGTCACTGGCGCTTCTTGGGAGCAAGAGCACACACCTTGGCTGTCGCTATGCCATTTTATTGGCCAGAGAATTCTCAGTTTATCATCATCTCTGAGTCTTAGACTTATGACCTTTTTATTGCTCTGGAGTGTACTCTGTAAGCTCCAGGGTTTACACTCAAGATGCAGTTGGTTTTTCAATTTCTGAAAGCCCCTCAAGCATGAATGAACAGTGTGCTGCCTATAAAAGGGAAGGAGCATAACCTTTTCAGGCCAAGATTTAATCACCCATCACAGAGCAAAATGGCCACCAGGCCCAGGCCATCTGACTGTCTAGAAAATGACTGAACCACCAACTATAAAATATATTTTTAAAATCCCAACAGGTTTCAGAAGGTAAAGGATGGGCATTTTTTGATTCCCCACATTTATGAGATATTGAACCACCCTATTTCTAAAGATGTTGGTTGTGGGAGTCTTGAGAGCAGGAATGTGAGTCTGAAGCTGATAGACAATGTATTAGATTCTGTGCCAGAGAAAAGTCTGCCTTGATTATGTTCTGACATTCCATTCCACATCCTAAAACCTTTGATTTCTACCTGCCCCCATCTGTTCATTCATCTATCCAAGAGCACAGGCATTTTGTTTGGCCAGGCCTGGGGAGATAGTGGTACACAAGAAAGGTAAGGTTCCTGCCCTCATGGAAAATAGAGACCTCAAATGGTAAACAAACTACTAAGAAAGTGTGATAGTTGAACTGGGTGTGGTGATGGCCCTGTAGTCCCAGCTACTCAGGAGGCTGAGGCAGGAGAATCACTTGAGGCTAGGCAGTGGAGGCTGCAGTGAGCCAAGATCACGCCACTGCATTCCGGCCTGGGTGACAGAGCAAGTCTCTGTCTCTTAAAAAAAAGAGAGGGTGGGGATTATAATTGTGTTAAGTGCCATGAATGAAAATTTTGGGCTGAGATACAGAACAATCATATATGTGTCAGGGAGAAATGGGGGGACCTGCTTTAGATAGGGTGATCAGAGAGGGTTCCTAGGGGAGTTGCTGTTTCAGCTGAAACTAAAGGATGAGAAGGTGTCAGCCAAGTGAAAAACCAAGGGAAGAGTTTCTGGGGAAGAGGGGACAACATTTACAAATGCGGGAAATGTGGTGAGTTGGAAGAATTGAGAGAAGGGTATTGTAACTAGACCATGTGGAGTACATAGAAGAATGGACAGTTTGGGAACCCAGAGAAGGAGGGATCTTTTCCTGGGGATGGAAATGTTTTCAAATTGAATTCTGGTGAGGGTTGCATAACTGAATAGTCACTAAAAATCACTGAATGATACACTCCAAATGGGTGAATTTTATGATATATAAATTATACCTCAATTATGCTATTTTTATAAAAGATGGCAGTACATCTTAGTTTGGAATTCTAGGGAAGGGTAAGATCTAGACATAGAGTAGGGAGTCCTTGGTAAGCACTTGCGGTCACTTAGAAAGGATGTGTAGAAAAGGAAAGTAGCCCTGGGTCTGTGTCCTGATGGCACTTCAGCATTTCAAGGTTTGAGGTTGGGCAGAATGAGGAGGAGACAGAAAGAGAAACTGAGGAACCTATAGGGCAGGAAGAACACCTGGAAAGTGTGGAGTCATGAAAGTGAAGAGGAGAGAGCTTTGTAAGAAGGGAGTGGTGAACTGAGTAGAATGGTGCAGAGGTCAGGTACCATAAGGGCAGAGAAGACCATTGGATTCAGCCTGAAGGAGATCCTTTTTGACCTTAAGTGTTGACCTTGACAAGAGCAGTCTCAGCCCAGGGATGAGGACAGAAGCCTAGCTGCAAAAGGGCGAGGAGGGAATAGGAGGGGAGGAAGCAGTAGTGCCTCCAGGCAGCTCCTTCAGGGAATTTTACTGTAAACAAGAGCAGAGAAATGAGGATGTAGCTGAAAAGAGAAATGGGGTCAACAGAAGGGTTAAAAGCTAGGTCGTGCATATCCAGAACATGTAGATATGCTGCTGGAAATGGTCCAGAAGAGAGGAGATTGGTGATGCTAGGGAGAGGGGAGATACCTGCAGAAACTGAGGCCCCCAGAAGGGCAGAGGGGGTGGAACTAGGGCATAAGGAGAAGGTCTGGGCTTTGTCTGGCAAGTAGGTGGGAGGGCCTAATGGAGGCACGCAGATGGAGAACCCATATTACTTGATTTTCTTTTCCAGTGAAGGAAATGAGAAGATATTCAGCTGGGAATGAAGGTGGAGGCAGGGCAGCAGGGTGGAGGAGCACCAGCCTTATGGCTGGTATCCTTCAGTGCCAGGCGTATGACAGGGGCTCAGTCAGTCTTTGCTGCCATTAAACATTGCAGGAGTTTTCGAACTTTGGGAGGCATAGAAGTGATCACCAGGGGTGGTTGTTAAAATGCAGATTTCTGGGTTCTTATCTCAGAGATTCTGATTCAGAAGACCCATGAGAGAGCCAAGAAATCTGCATCTTTAACCAGACCCCCAGATGTTTCTGATGCAAGTAGCCAGAGGGCTGTAGTATGAGAATCACTGAAAATGTCTGTGAACAATAATGTGTGTGTGAACACAGCCCTACAAATAGGAGGCTTTTAATAAAGAATTAATAAGACGCAGTTCTTTTCAACAGACCATACCTTAGGCATAATTAGATTTCATATTTCATAAATAATTAAGACTCATTGTGTTTTGTTTTTAGAAAAAGACGAAAGTTCTTTGGTTTAAAAAGAAAAGGCAATTAAACATTAATGTATACTTTTCTTTGCAGGGGAAAGAGCAGAATGCGGCACCACCAGGTGAGAGTGGGAGAGTCGTGTTTTCTTTCATCTGCTGCCCGAGGTGGGAGTGGGATGGGGCTGGGGAGGCACTGCTGGGAGCTGGAGAAGCAGGGATGGCTTCTTCACCAATGTCCCCATGGGCTGGTGTGGGTGTGCCTAGGTGAGGCACAGTTGCTGCTTCGCTTCTCCTAGCATTAGACTGACAAAGCCATGCCCCTCCAGGCTGGCGATGGATGGGGCGCTTTGGGGGCTGCTGTGTGGCAGTGGGGCACCCTCCCTTTGCGCTGGCCATCGGGTGAGACAGTATTGTCTACTCAGAGTGGCTGAGGGCAGCCTGTAGGAGCCAGAGGCTGTGGGGTGGCTGTTGACCTCTCTTCCCACCTGCTACACCATGCTGAGCAAACTGCCCAGCCTTGCTGCGAGGACCAGCCTGGGGTCCCCATGTACCAAGGCTTTGGGTCAGGCTCAGATTGCGCGCAGCTGGGCACACGCATGCGCATAGATGTGCACAGACTCCCCCGCTGTCCACACCCTGGCTTGGACCTCACGGGCACTTGAATGGGCTGACAGAAAGTAACACACGGGCAACTTCTGCTTTCTCTTCAGCTCGTTCAACATTCCCTTTTGCGCTTTTCGCTGAGCAGACCAGAGCCAGTGAACACTTTCCACTCAGCAGCTGATAGCTGAGGGGCTGACTTTACTCCCCTTTCAGAAAGCTTAGATCCATAAGTGGCTCTGTCACTGGCCAGGTTGTTTGCTTAGAGCCTATTTCATTTCTGCGTTCCCAGTAAGAGATATCGCACTGCCTAGCTGGAATTCAGCCAGTGGCCCAGAGGCCTGCACTTTTCCATCACATGGCAGTAGAGCGCTACTTTTTGCCTCACTTTCTGGGCCCGGGGACCTGAGGGCATTCTTTTCTTTCCCACAAATGCTTCCCAGTGGCCCCAAATCCTGAGAAACCATCATGTTTGGCAAGAGCAAAGATGAACTCCCAACTCTCTCCTGCTCCTTGGGAAGGGAGTGGGGCAAAGTCTTGGAAAACTCTAGGGTTTTCAGTTTCCTGGGCTCAGGATGGGGAGACCGAGGGCTCGACAGAAGTTCAGCCCCTGCAGCTGTTCCTCTGGGCTCTGGCAATTTGGAAGCATCAGGACAAGTCACGCCAGGCGAGGCCCTTCCAGCACATGGGGCGGCAGATGTGCAGGGTCACTTTCGAAGAACCTTTTACAAATCTATTATAATTTTTTTTTTCCTGGCAAGAGAATGTTGTCATAGTCTCAAAACAACAGAAGCCGAATTTTACACCAAATTCTGCAAATAGTGAAACAGATGGGGGATGAATTGAGCTGTCCCTCACTTCCTCCTAATTCCTAGAACTCATGCAGAGAAGTTTGTTCCAGCAGAGTGTGGGAGAGGAGATCTGTAATCAAACCCTTGGCCAGGTCTCAGGGTCCTCCCTCAGTGGAAAGTTGAGGGTTTTTTTTTTTTTTTTTGTTTTGTTTTGTGTTTTAAATAAAGCCCTCTGAAGTCTTCCACACCCTCCTTGACCTAGAGCCTGGGAAATCCAAGCTGAGTTTATCAGACCTCCCACTTAGACACCCTGCATTCAACAGCAGCTACCCTGCATTCAATTGCAGACATAGCCCTGTGTACTCTGGTTCCTGGTCAAGGTCAAAGTAAACTAAAGTCTTTGTTAGTTAACTAAAAGTCTTCCCTTACCTCCAAAATCATTATCTAACTTGTGGAAATTGTTGCTAACAATGTCTGTGTCCTATGGCTCTCTCTGTATCTTCCATGGACTCCCACACAAGGTGGATATCATTTTTGGATGGTTATTTGAGCAGGATCTCCTCAGCCAAGTTGCTGTTGACCTTGTATAGAGGAACTGGTTTTGCATATGGGCTACAGTATGTTATATTTTTCTCACACTTCAGAACCTTATCTTAGACTAGACCAAATTCGTAAAAACCCTGTAATTCAGGATGGCCAGATGTGATAATGCACTTAAATTTAAAAGTGTATTGTAAATGTCGAAGCAAGATGCAAATATAAGGTTTGATTATTGTGATTCAAATGAACGTCTGGCTCCCCTTACCCACGTTGACATGCCCTCGTGGTCTGGATTAGAGATGAAATCACTCAAGATCTTGTTCAAGCAGATGCAACACAGTACACAGCCCATGCGTAGCCTCCAAGGGCCCGACTGGCATTGCACTGCAGCATTGCCACCATTTGGGATGTTGACCTCCAAGTCCATTAGGTTATCTAGGGGAATTTTTCATCACATCCCTTTAGTTGCAGGATAATTTTGAGGCAATTTCCTGTGTTGCCAATGTGTGTTAATTTTCATCTTGATTAAAAGGCAGAAAGGGGACATTGGTCTCTGGTTTCTCTTTCTTCCTCTCTGTGGCTTTCTCTGTTCCTGTTTTCCCTGCCTCTCTTTCTTTCTTTCTTTCCTTTTTGCTCTGCATCTGAGCAGCAGAAGAGATGGAAGGCTTAGGCTGCCCCACTTTCCTTGGCCGGGCTGCCCCCCTGCTCCCCACTTTGTGCCCCACCCAGCACTTCAGTAAGTCAATATAGATTTGATATTGTGCAAAGTTGGGATAGCTACGTTTCCTTGTCAGAGATTCCAGACAGTGCACAGAACACCATACAAAGAAAGAAATCCCCGTGTGATTCACGCAGTCCTTTGCTTTCTGGATTGGGCAGGAAAAATGGGAAAACGTATCTTATTTTCCCTTTATTCCACTTTGTAAAATTTAAGAAAAAACAAAAAACACTTAGGACTTTCTTTTAAGGAAACCCTCCAGTTGGGCACCGTAGGTTTTTTGATATTGAGTGTCCAACACCTGCTTTAAGAGTCTGCTCTTCCTGGCCATGAGAATTTAACAGATAATTTAATGTTACTTCTGGATGCTCTATGACATGTTCTATGATAAAATCACTTTCATGCTCACACTAGAGCCTTGAGAGTAGGAAGAGCTGAATTTTACCACCAACCTCAATCACAGTTTATTTGTGTGATCTTAGGCAAGTTTCTTCATCTTTTGTGGACTCATTGACCTTGTATGTAAAGTGAATTGAATATTTTTTCCCAACCTCACAGGGTTGTTGTGAGGTTATCATGCAATGTGATAAGGAAATGATGTGGGAATGTTCATAAACAAACCAAACACTATGAAAACAGGGTGACAATGTTACTATCAAGTTATTTCTAATCCCCAAACTTAAAACCTTTGGCCTTGTGTCACATTTTTGACACTCTCTTTTGCCTTTGGTATTTGAAAATTTAAGAGCAGATCTTGTAAGAAATCCCACCCCCACATACATACATCCTCAAAAAAATAAGTAATTTTTGAAAAAGAAATGACATGGACTTAGCTAACCAAATTGACATAGATCCAAGATGGGCTTGAAATAATCTTGCCTGTTGTTTCTTTTCAAAATTTTGATCTGTGCTGTTATTTTGTTTCCGTTGTTTGGGTGGCATGATATTTGGATTCACCTGGTTTTTGCCCATGCATGTACTGGAGCTAGCAGCATTTGCTCAATACTCAAACACCTAGGAGAAGTTGGTTAGAGGTCCCTGGGGATGGCTGGCCTACTGAAGGAGACAGGTACAACAAGCCCAGTCAGCAGAGGCAGCATGAATCTCTTTTATCCTGATTGGCTGCATAGTCCAGAAGATTTCTTGCCCACTCACAGAAATCAATGAAGACTTGGGGGACCAGGTCTTTGCTTGTCATGTGTGGACATTATCTGTGCCTGGCTGAGTCCCCACTTGTTGCTACCCAAATTTTGAACCAAGCCATTTGAAAATGAACTGCCTCTCTTGGTTAGGGGCCCTCTTCCTAACATTAAAAAGCCCTTTGCCCCGGAAGGCTGGCACCATTGAGTCAGGCCAACTTGTGTGGTGAAATGAGCAAATAAGCCAACACAGGTATATGCATGGTGAGCAATTCTGGAAACAGGTCCAGTGTTTGTGGCTGTTTCACTGGTGAACTGTGGTATGGTTACCCCTCCCTGTGGCCAAGAGTGGAGCATACTTTAGGAACGGAAATCCTAAAGTAAAGCAAGACACTTTCAACCTGATCCCATGGCAAAGGTTACTGGGGTAGATGAGTCCTTGGTTGGAAATAAAAAAGTACCCTAAGTCTCCATGATGGTGGTCTGGTAGGAAAAACGCTGAACTTGGAGCCAAAGAGTCCTGAGTTTGGGGTCCAGCTCTGTCAGTTCTCCTTCACAGGAGGCTTCAGTTTCTGCCTCTGTAAAATGGGGCCACATATACAAGGTTGAGGTGGCATTAAGTTTAATAATGGATTTGAAAGTGGTTTAATTGAAAATGTTCTTGAGGCTGGGTACAGAGGCTCATGCCTGTAATCCCAGCACTTTGGGAGGCCAAGGTGGGCAGATCACGAGGTCAGGAGTTCAAGACCAGCCTGGCCAACATGGTGAAACCCTGTCTCTACTAAAGATACAAAACTTAGCTGGGCATGGTGGTGCATGCCTATAATCCCAGCTACTTGGGAGACTGAGGCAGGAGAGTCGCTTGAACCTGGGAGGCAGAGGTTGCAGTGAGCTGAGATCATGCCATTGCACCCCAGCCTGGGTGACAAGGCAAGACTCCGTCTCAAAGAAAAAGAAAAAAAAGAAAGTGTACTTGACTAAAGAACAGGATATTACCATCATCCTGGGGTCACCCAGGGACCCCAAAGAAGTTGCACCCTCCCTCATGGTATCAGTTTCTTCATCTCTGAAATGAGAATAGTAATTGCCTGGCTCTTAGATCAATGAAATAAAGATTAGTCAAGTGCATTTGAAATGCCAAGAGGCATTAGGAAGATCAGTGCCCTGGTACATTGGGAGTTGAGACTTGGTGATAAATTTAAGCCAAAATAATGAAAATTAACCCTCACAATCATTTTTGAAAGTCTCTTGCTTTCTCAGGCTACAGATTACATCTCTCTCCCCTGATTCCCCCTCCATCTGGTCAGCTTTGCAGGATGGCAGCCTCTGATTGGAGTTTCAGTGGTTTCTTGCACATGTCCTATTTTCCCCCTAAGATTTAGAATGCATTTGCGTCATGTAAGAGTTGCTCCTGCTTGGCACTGTGGGTAAATTAAGATCTCCTAAAACATGCAAAGGCCTTCAGATGGAACATTGGAAACCAATGTCTTGGCGGGGGGTCAGGGGCTTCCATTTACATTTTGTGTCCCCTTTAGTTGTGGGTTTTAAGAGCATCTTTCCCAGTTGTATGTTTATGTTGGTTGCTTTCTTGATTTCTTTTGTTCCGTTTTCCCCTAGGCCCCCCTGTCTTCCCCCTAAACCACAGAAAATGAGGAGACCTAGGCCTCTCTCAGTGTATAGCCATAAACTCTTTAACGGCAGTATGGAAGCATTCATTAAGGTACTTGCTGGGGAGCCATGGAGTCCGCGAATGCACCCAATGTAATGGCAGCCTCTGTCCTCCCGCCTCCCTGCCAGCAGACAGCCCTGTCCTTGGCCAGGCCCTGTGGAGCTAGTTCCTCGATGCAGCCTACTCTTAGCTTCAGCAAGGACTTTTCACGGGAGCCGCTGTAGCCTCTAACTGGTTGCTCCTAAGTGCCCTGCACAATTCTCAGCCCTGGGGTGTAGGGATCAGATCATGACAGAACCCAGGGAAGTCCAAGTGGGCCTGAAATACCAGCGCAGCGGGCCCAGCCAGCCACGCTTCATTGCTTCAGCAACTGCAGTCCTAACACCTGAGGGACAGTCAGAGAAACCCCATTCCCTCCCTTCACACCCACGTCCCCCAGGAGAAGCTGGATTGAAAGCAACACAGAGGAAATCCCTGTGGGTATCAGTGTGTTTTTATACACGTGAATTTTTTTTTTAGTTGCATATATACCAGCAAAGGAAACACATACAATTTTTATAAGAGAAAATCCTCCCACCTAGTTTGCTTCCCATTAGGTGGTTTGGGAGAAGGGAGAAAAGTTGAGGTTGTCCCTTTTGAATTCTAGGTTAACCCTCTGTACCTTAAACTAAGTAGTTTAGCTAGGAGTTTCTCTTTTCTTTTCTGTTTGGTGTAAATGATATGAGATTAAGTCATATCAGATATAATGACTCAAGGGAAATTAAGAAGATGATGGAGAAGCGAAGAGCAGCAGCTGGGGAGATACTTGAGGAAGGGGAGAAGCACTCTTAACATTACTTAGAGGAAGTGGGGAAGTCCCTGCAACTGATTTGAGCGCCCACTACCTTCTAATGAAGACACTCTCTGCAGAGAAGATGATAGGTATCAATCAGGAGAAAAAGCAAAGGCCCTTGGGCTTTGCCAATGATTTGAGGGTTATAGAGGCTGCCTGTGCTCCGGCTGTCTACCCGTGATCCTCAGACAGGGTCCAGCACAAGACTTGCAGGACAGCAAGAGACTGGATATGGGTTTGGCCTTAGGCAGGGGAGGGGGTAAGCAGGACCAGCCCGGGTCTCAGGACTGTCTCTCCCTGTGGGCTGAGTTCTGGGGAAGGGAGAGTAGGGAAAAGGGAAAGTGGAAGACCAGGGCCCAAGTTGGGACTGCCCAGGGGTGAGGGATGTCAAGGGCTGCTGTAGGATGCCTAAGAAGACCAAAGCGTAGAGGATTCCCAAAAGGAGGGGCCCATGGGTGTATCAGGAAGGAAGATCAGGAGGTGACCCAGAGGGAGTGGTTTATTGGGTCATAGGAGGGCGGGGCTGTGCCAAAGGAATCTTCTGTCTCCATCCTTCCTCCTGTCTCCTCCAAGACTTTCTTCTTTCACCCTTGCCCATAAAAGAGCCATGGTTCATGGCCGAGAGGGGACTAGTTACTCTCCCTTCCCTCAAGGAGCCAGTAGTGGAGCTTGGGAAATTTTAAACACAAAAGGCAGAAAGTAGAAGGTGATTTAGGATGAGCAACTGGTGAGTTATCCCCACATAAACAAGTTTAGGATAGGTGCAGTGGCTCACACTTGTAATCCTAGAACTTTGGGAGGCTGAGGTAGGAGGACGGCTTGAGCCTGGGAGGTCAAGGCTGCAGTGAGCTACAGTTGTGCCACTACACTCCAGCCTCAGTGACAGAGCAAGACCCTGTCCCGAAAATAAACAACAACAAAAAAAGAATTCAGAGCAAAAAGAGCTATGAGCTCAAGCACAGTAGGCTTCTGAAGGGGCTTTGAAGGAAAGGTGGGAATGCAGAGGAGAATAAAAGGACAAAAGGAATTATTGAAAGGAAGAACAGAAGAAATGAAGGCTCAGAGACAGGGACATCCTCAGTTTGCTTAGGTCTTTGGAAATGGGTGATCAGTCAGGATACTTAGAAGGAATCCACTCTTATCTGACAGTATTTGACAAGCAGATGTTCTGTTCAGTATTTTTGTAATAGAGAGGTCCTATATGTAAGATGTGACTATAAAGTAATCTGACTTTATTCCTTCTGACCAACACATCATAACCTAGTCAACCACATGAGTGTTTGCCCCTTTGAGGCAGTCATCTTGGGAAGCCACCTTCTTTCCTGAATGTGTCGGCATTGCTGCAGCTGCTTTGGTCAGTCTTCTTTAGAGCCTGGAGCATGGCCTTTACCAGTGGGGCCAAGACTATGTATTCAAATGGACACTTTGTCTTTGGAATAGAAAGCTCCGTTTGAAGCTGAGCTTTGCGATGCCATTGGAGGTGCAAAATGGCAAGAGGAATATGCTACAGTGGGGCTGTTCCACTGGCTCTGAAAAGAACACCCCAGCAGCGACAGCCCAGAGCACTTGAGCAGTGGCAGCACTGTTGGAATAAGTGCATCACCTCCTAAGCGGAAAAGTTGGAGGAATAATACTCATTTGACTGGGAAAAAAGGTGTGTTTGTTAAATACTATTTCTTTCATTCATTCATTCATTCATTCATTCATTCATTCATTCATTCATTTATTGAGGCAGTCTCGCTGTGTTGCCCAGGCTGGAGTACAGTGGTACAATCATGGCTTACTGCAGCCTTGACCTCTTGGGCTCAAGTGATCCTCTCACCTCAACCTCCCGAGCAGCTGGGGCTAGACGCATGCACCACCATGCTTAGCTAATTAAAACAATTTTTTTTTTTTTGGTTGAGACAGGATCTTACTATGTTGCCCAGGCTCGTCTTGAACTCCTGGGCCCAAGGGATCCTTCTGGCTTGGCCTCCCAAAGTTCTGGGATTACAGGCATGCGCCACTGCACCTGGCCTTACTATTGCATTGCTTTATAGTCACACTGTACTCATCACATACCATCAGCGCAGTTCAACAAACTCATACTGTGCACCTACTATGAGCTAAGTGGACGATGTTTTACAGCACAGTATGCTGTGAAAGGTTATTAAGTTTCAGAGAATGAAAAGGCAGTATAATGTATTCAATCCTTCAACTATTGAGAATGGATTTTAATTTTCTATTATAATCCACATGCCATCTGAAAGAACATTGAACTAAGAGTCCCCAGCTTTGAAAAACCACACCTGTGAAAAGGTTTTTAATAAAATAACATCACCGAGACTTCACAATTATAATGGCTTAGAGGGACAAGGAAGCATCCCTGGGGTTAATAATCATAAGTAAATGTTGCTGGAGTTTGATTTATACATTTCTCAGATCCTACCTGAATAAACAAAAGCCTTTCAAAATCCTTGATGTTTTTTCCTCCTCCTCTCAGACAAAAGGAGAATTCATTTTTGTAAGAGCCAGTTTTGAAGCCCAGGAGGTTCACCTCTGGGACAAGGGGAGAATCCTCATCCTGTTTCTGTAAAATAAGGATGATAATTACCTACTTCATGATCCTTTGTGAGGAGGATTAAATAAGCCAGTATATGTTATGTTTCTAGAGCACTGGATGGCACATAGTAAGCACTATGTATTACCTACAATTATTAGCATTAATTTTAGCATATTGCACATAGAACCTGTTCGACCAGGCTGTTTACTCAGTTCTGGGATTCTGGTAGATTTAGTCAGCATGTCAGGTAGCAGACAGTTCCAGTTGTTGAGATGCTGAGAACTGGACAGATGACACTAACTAGAAAGCACACATCCTCCAGGAGCCTGGATGGGACAAGTGCTCACCCCAGAGACAGACCTGCTGCACAGTGGAAAGAGCTGACAGCGCTCCCCTGAAAATGGGCATTATCAGTGGCTTTTAGTGAAAGTAAAGGCTCCCGTTCTCCCCCAAGCTCATGAAGGCGTTCTGACTCAACTTCCCTTCCTCCTCCAGGCCTTTCTCAGCTTTTGTATTCCTTAGTGCCAGTGTAAGGGTCAAGAGGGGAGGAAGGAGAGCAAAGTCAAGTGGATACCCAAGAAAAGCAACTGAGGGTGTATGGCAGGGAAACATGGGAAGCTGTTTGGAATTTGGCATCAGGTGGAATCCTATGGGCCTCTATCCAAAGGGTACCTTGTAGACATGATCTCGTTAGAACTGAACTTTTTACCAACAATGAGGTTTCTTGAGCTGAATTCCAGGACATTGTTCCAGTAGACATAAAGGTATATTTCTCTCCTTTTTGTGGGCAGCTGGACATACCTTATGGGGTTGTAGGTAGGCTTTTGTCCATGCGTGCATAAACAGTCCCTTTTGTTGAAGAGAAGCTAGGTACAGGGACGGGGATGGGTCCAGTCCACACAGTTGCTGCTCTTTCACAAGGACTAAAAGAGGCCCCCGTGTCAACTGGTGTCTGGGAGGGCGGCTAAGGCAGCCACATGGGAAGGCTGGCTGGGCGGCTTCCAGAAGTCCCATGAGGCTCCCAGGCTCGGGGGTGACCCTCCCCACAGGCCGGCTGTTTGACAGGCTCCCCAGGACCTTGGCTGGCTGCCATTGCATTTCGGCGTTCACGGACTCTGAAGGATCTGCTTACTCTAACTGATCTTATTCCTGCATAATCTTTTCTTTTTCTCCTGCTCTGCTGCCTGTTTATTTTTTGTTATCAGAGGAAGAAGAAATGCTCGAACCAGGAACCAGGTATTTACTAGAAAGGCCCGTTAGCCCCATTCACCGCGATGGAAACTGTCTTTAGTGCTGACTTCCAGAACAGAGCCCACCTTGCCTGTTGCTGATGGGTCCATATTCTTGTCCTGTCCCTGGGCACAGTCAATCGAGGAAATAATTCACAGGTGGGGTGTGGAGGAGCCAAGAACGTATCCAAATCCATGCTGTCTTCACAAGAGCATATTACATGTGCCTCATTGTTTACTCACCTTGTGAGAAGGCTAGGCCTTTGATTTGGCCCCTTTTAAAGAAAGTTTAAAAGAATTTGATGTTCTTTAAGTGACCTGGAATAACAGAGAGGTCAACCAATAATGAAATCCAAAAGAAAATGTCTCCCCTCGCCATAATCATTTGTGGCTGTAGACCAGTCTAGGAAGATGTCACTGAAAATACATTCACATCCCAGGTGCCTATGTTGAGAATTGCATCTTTTTCAGCCTTTTAGAGTAAGGTTGGCCCCTAGATTGCTAATGGCTGACATCAGCTGCCTCTAGAGCTTTTCCCTGTGACATGTTTATTGTTAAATGCAGTATGCATCTGAGTGTTTAGTTGTGACTTCATGAGTAGAACTGGTCTTCCCTTCTTAGAGCTCAAAATTTCCACTGGGGGTCAGCCTTGCTTCTCCCGTGGTGTGCCCTTAATTCTGACATCAGGTAAATAGGTGAGGACTTGATCCTTGAGCACTGAGAAAATAGTACTGAGTTGGGACAAAGTGGAGGGGGAGGCAGAGAACTCTTCAAGGCCAGACTCCAGCAGCCTCCATGAGGTGGTTCCCTCTCCATTGCCCAAGTGGGCCTGCCAGGCCTCCTGAGCCCAGGTTCCTTTCCAGTTGGATAAGAAGACAGAGCATTTCTTTAAAATGATCGTAGCTATGCCTTTTTGTGCACACAGCTGAAGACTCTCTGTTGTAACTGTCTGTGGAGACTTTAGGATTAGCAGTTCCTTGCTTGTTTTCCTACTAATCTGATGGTACTAATATTCTGGCTTGAGTCTGTAATCTGTGTTTGCAATGTCTTTTTCCTGTGGTGGTTGTCAAGTCCCATAAAACTCACGATTTTTCTTTTCTCAAGGATTCAGGACAAGCTATACCACTTGTAGTCGAGAGCTGCATCCGTTACATCAATTTATATGGTAAGCTGGATCTTGGGCCAGTGTTTTCAGCAATATGCAGAACAGGTGCTAGGCTGTTCTGATAGGAAATGAGATTCTAATTTGTCCTGGAAGACTTCCCGTCACAGCTCTGCTTTTGAGGGGGAAAGTACTGCACACAGCAGCTGCTCTTCTGAGTGCTGCTTTTGAGTGTGTTGGGGGATGGAGATCATGGTGAGAGGATCCAAGAACTAGGAAAACCGGAGGGTAGAAAGGGCATGGACAAGAGAACTCAAACCTATAGCTCTGTGCTTTGAGCACTGAATGGAGTTTGCCAGTAAATCAGCTAATACTACTAGATTATAAGCTCCATGAAGGTATTAGGTTGATGCCAACGTAATTGCAGCTTTTGCCATTACTTTTGAATGGGAAAAACCGCAATTACTTTTGCACCAACCTAATAATGGTGTCTGGGATTTGTTAATTTAACCTCTCCCAAGTCCCAGCCAGAATGTACTCTAGAGTCTAGCTCTTCTTGAAGGCAGAACATGTCTGTGTACAGGGAAGGAAAGGTATTGATACAAAACTTCTTGTGGCCTTTTCCTTTAAGCTCAAACAGAAGATCACAGATTATGAAGCAGATGTGTCCAAGGATTTTGGCCAGCTATACTTCACCGTGCAGGCCATTTTTGGAGACATTCATAGGGAATGACTCTGTTATAAAGAATCGGGGGAAGAAAGGGACAAGCAATGGGCAGAGTCACTGGTATTCCCAGTGGTCTAATGAACTCAAAGTCTCATGGATTTACTACTTCTTTTTCTGTATGTTTCTTTTTTAGGACTCCAGCAGCAGGGGATCTTCAGAGTGCCAGGATCTCAGGTGGAAGTCAATGACATCAAAAATTCCTTTGAGAGAGGTGGGTGCAGAGTGACCATCTTAAGCTTGTGTGTTAAGCTTGTGGCCAGGGGAAGCCAGAGTGAATGTTCACATGTGTCTCAGAGCCTGTGGTATGCAGAAGCTGGCCTGCAGTGGTTTGCAGGAGCTGATTGTGTGCATCTCTTTCCAACTTCACATTCAGTGACTTTGTCCTGGTACTTGGAATAAGCATGGCTGGAATGTGTACACCACAGAAATTGGCAAAAACTAAGTTCTAATTGTTTCCTGCCAAAGAGCTAACTGTTTAACATTTACCTACCACCAGCACCACCACTGCTACCAGTACTACAATTACTGCTACTACTGCTATTACTACTATTACTGCTTATGGGTGACTCTCTCCAGTGGGCTGCACAGTGGTTGCTGGGAAAGGGTGCCTTGTAAAGAGCTCTGGAATATTTACGTGAATCTGTAAAGGATGCTACATTTTAGAATTGGAAGAACATAGAAAACACTGAGTGACTTTTAAATATCCTAATTTTTAATTTTTTATGTGGTGTTTTTGGCAAGTCACACATTGGGAGGAAGAGATTATATACTCCCTCCACCCCTGGAGAGGTGACCTAGTTCCCATTTTGATTTAAGCAAGGATATGAAAGCTTATTAGAAGTGAGGTGGACCACTAGACCAGGACACATGTGATATATTTGGTGTAGCCTCTCTGGGCTTCAGAATCCCTGATAGGAACAGATGGCCAGTGACAGTGTCCAAGCCAAGTAAGGACTCACTGGGTCAGGAAATTCTCAATTCTTCTTACACCTCTGCCTTTGAATATTTAGTGCTTATCTCACTGCTACACTGAAATGGAAAATCCATGCATTTTCATTTGAGGAAATATTTTCAATCCTGCTCCCTGATTCTAGAACAAAACCTAGCATTAGCAAGTCCATAACCTCATCCTAGGGGGGGAAAGAAGAGTTGGAATATCGGTATCCCACATAATATATCTGCCTGCAGTTTTCCAATATTTGAAAAGGTCATGTCTCCACAGTCCACCCCTTCTCAACTCTGATTTACTGCCTTCTCTGAGTGGTTCTGGCACTGAGGACCCCAATCCCATACCCCTTTACTAGCAGTACATCACATCCCAAAAGGTATGGTTTACCCCTGTTGGCTGTGCTCTGAGCAGGCCTCTCTGTGTACTTCCACCCATAGAATTCTTCCTACTTATTACCTAGCTCCCCTCCCACCCCAAAGGAGCTGCCTCTTGAACAAATTCTCTGTCTCCCAGTCATCTCCATTCCATCCTGCGGGGGAGGAAGCATTCTGCAGCCCCAAGCAGTACTGCTATGGCCCCTAGGCACAGACCCTCTGTGGATGTAGGCACTCTGGCTTGGAACCATCTGGAGACAATGAGATTTGTCTGCATGTCATGCTTAGTGGCCTTCTAGGGTATAGGGGAGCTTCGTTTCTGGAGCTTACTCGAGAATCTTGGGTGCTTAGAACCAGGGAGCCCCAGGACCCCCTTGCTCCAAGCTCCTACTCAGCATGTATTCATTCACTCAACAAGCATGCACTGAGTCCTATACTGTACAAGGTAATGGACTAGGACCTGGAAATGCAATATGAACAAAACACAGTCACTACTAGTAGGGGAGCCAGTTTAGCCAACAGCCAGTATAATCAGTGCAATGATGGAGTAGGCAATGGGGAGCATAGGAGCCCCTAGCCCAGCCTGAATGGAGTGGAGAGGAATAACAAAGCCAGGGAAGGCTTCCTTGGGAAAAATGCCTAAACTGAGGCTTAAAGAGTAAGAGCCAGGGGAAGCAGGGGCAAAGAAAGGGCATTCCAAACCAAAGGAACAGCATGTGCAAAATCCGCGTCCATGATGCAAGTATCATTTGCCATTGCTCTGAGCCTCTCTTGGCAGCACTGGACAGTCCAATCCATAATGTTGCTTCTTAGTTTTCCCCAACTTCTTACACCCCTGCTGCCCTGTGTTCATTTACAATGAACAGAACCATAGTCTGGAATCTTTGCTGGTTCCCTCCTCCTGGGGTCATCCCATTATACAGAATGCCTTGTCACCCTGCCTTGAATCTCATGGGCAAACTCACTGCATGGTGCCTCCAGCCTGGCAACCACTTTGCCTGGCATTTGCCTGCCTCTCCATATTCTATAGGTAACCTTGTTGCCACAGGCAACCCTACCCTTTCCCTACCCCGGTAGCACTGCTTTTTTCCTTCTTGAATGTGATTTTCTAAGGTCAGCACCTCCTGTCACTTGCTTTGGTGCTTTGCAGGGGTGATGTGCAATTTAAATGAATTCTCTGCTCCTAACAAGCCTTGGATCGCCTCGGGCAGAGCCCAGCTGGGCAGAGAACACCTGAACTAAATCTCAGCTGCAAAAAATATTTTCTCCTTTTTCTTTCCCTCACGAATGCAGTTGGCCTCACTCCCTCTCCCCATCGTTCCAAAACGAATCTCATTCTCTCGCCAGCCTGGTCCTTCTGCTCCACCTGAGTCGACAATGAAGCATGCTATCTTCTAAAAGAATCGTTCTAGTATGTCTCTTTTATAAAAATCCTTTCCTGGATTTTCTGGGCTGGCCAGTGCCAGATTTCTCACTATTCTTTTCTGTTCCTTGACATTCACCAAGCGTATGCCCTGGGTTTGGCTCCTAACCTGGCTGACACTCAGGGCTGCCTCCTCCCACCCCTCCCCAGACTAGGGTCTTCCCTCATCCTGGCCCTCAGCCTGCTTATCTCCATGTTTCCTTGGCGACGGGGTGGCCCAAACCTGGGCCCAGCTCAATATTTCTCTTCTCGCCCACTCTTCACATCCCACATGGTTTAACTCGTGACTAAATTTCCTCTCCAAACCAGTATGCCATGTTTTTCCTTTCTTCCTGTATTTTATATATTTATTTGAGATGGAATCTCCCTCTGTCACCAGGCTGGAGTGCAATGGCGGGATCTTGGCTGACTGCAACCTCCGCTTCCCAGGTTCAAGTGATTCTCTTGCCTCAGCCTCCTGAGTAGCTGGGACTACAGGCATGTGCCACCTCGCCTGGCTAATTTTTTATATTTTTAGTAGAGACATGGTTTCACCATGTTGGCTAGGATGGTCTCCATCTCCTGACCTCGTGATCTGCCAGTCTCAGCCTCCCAAAGTGCTGAGATTACAGGCATGAACCACTGTGCCTGGCCAATTTATTTATTTTTTGAGACAGGGTCTCTGCCTCCCCCAGTTCAGGTGATCCTCCCACCTCAGCACCCTTCCACCCCACCAAGTAGCTGGGATTACAGGTGTGTGCCACCATGCCTGGCTAATTTTTGTATTTTTTGTAGAGATGGGCTTTCACCATTGAACGCCTGGGCTCAAAGCAATGCACCAGACTCAACCTCCAGAAATGCTGGGATTCCAGGCGTGAGCCACTGCCCCCAGCCTTTTCATTTTATTTTTAAAATTTAAATCCTCGAATCCCTGCAGGGTGCCCATTCTTCACCAGTTGTTAAAAGGGATATGGGTCTTGTTCTTCCTTGGCTCTGTTTTTCCCTTCCCTGGGTAGAGGTCTTCCCAAAGTTCCTTGCTTAAGGCTGTTGAAAGGAGCATGGTTTTCTTTTCCTTAAGCTCCTGAAAACTGATAACATGTTGGAAATCTACTTCTGGCTTATTATTCCTAAATCTACTTTTTTTTTCCTTCTCATATGATTCAACCAGAGTTTTAGTTGAAATTCTTTTTGTTGTTGTCATCAGTAAATCTTAAATTCACTGCTCAAGTTTTGAGCTCTCCCTATAAATCTTCTGGCAAAATGAAGGAGAGAAAAAAAAAAAAACACACATCATGAAAAGGCAAGAATTAGCTGCTGAGCTGTGGAGTGAGCTGTGGTTTGCTCTTGTCTCCCAGAAGGTCCCCACAAACCTCTCTAAGTGACCTCTTTGTGTGCACAGATGGGAGTGCTGAGGTCTCTCCTTATGTGGAGGGGGTGCCTTGCCAAGGAGGCAATGGCTCTCTCCCCCTGTGCAGATCTACGCAGGGTTTGGATGTGGGGCTAAAGCCATGCCATGTAGGCTCTGGCACACTCTTGACTCTGGATCTGCCCCTTCTGAGATCTGGGTCCTGCCTCGAGAAGAGGGATGGAACCAGGAGATGCTGGGCGGGGTTGTCATGTTGAGGGGCTTGAGGACCTGTGGCCAGAGAGAACTGCCCTCGTGAGAGAGACTGACTCCAAGCTTCCAGCAGCAGGTCTGACAGAGCCTTTAAGCACACACTATGTGCTCAGTCTCTGCCCTGGGCGCAGCCCTGTCTTAAAGCCTTTGGCAACGCCCAGGTGATCTGGGTAAAAGTAAGCTCCGGGCAAAGCAATTCAGTAACAATGCCACCTCCCCAGGACATTAGCTAGCCAAGTGTGAACATGTCTTTCCTTTAGATTTGCCTGGAATGTTAGCTCTAATTCTCCTCTTGGAGAAAGCCGTCATTCACAGGAACCATCCGGCTCATCTCCAGCTCTGGAATTCCATTCTCAGAGCCAAAACTGACTAGCTTGCAGAGAGCCAGAGTCCTGGGCTAGTTGAAAAGAATGTTTGGGCAGCTCAATTTATGGACTGAGGGCCTTGCAGGAGGAATGGCAAGAACTAATGGCATATGTATGTGTATATGTGCATATGTAAAGTCAATATGCTAATCATGCTTAACAATGGGAGCTAGTACTAGGCAACATTGAGGAAAATATCCATGTGTTTTTGAATTATGAGACCACAGGAATGATGTGTGGAGCTAATAGGGAAACAGTTTAATGTGGTACGGTTTTTGAATTCTTTAGGCTGCTACAGGGATAGAGAGGGAGGCTGAGGAGGTGAGGCTTGGACATCCCCCACCCCAGTTCAACTAAGACAGCTTTGTTCTATAAGTTGGGATTTCATAGGAACTTCTTTACCGAGAAAAAAAAAGGTTGAGATTTTACTGTAAAGGATGAAAGGAAGGAAAGTAGGTAAATATATACTTACCTACATAAGCAGGCATACATACAGATAGACAGATCCAAAAATCACAGGTAGAAGAAAATGTATCTCTCAGGGATTATGAGACCTTGGAGCTGCCAGTATCTGTTGTTGACTTTGTGATTGTGGGCACATTGCTTCATCTGCCAGGGCCTCAGCTCTCCCACAGGAGAGAATGGTGGTATTGGAACCATGTCTCCCTTAGTGACATGCAATGCTGTTGTAAGGGTTAGGAGAGTTCGTATGTACAAATGTTCTTCTCACTTGAGAAGTGCTGGGTGAATACAGGCAATTTTTTGGTGTGTTTATTTTCTCTCTTCCTTCCCTACAAGGAAGTCTTATGGAGGCAGCATTCTCACCTCCTCCAGTGGGAACATTTGAGAGATTGACCTATCCAACGCCAGTATCTGGGCCACCATGCATGGTTGTTCACACTGGACACTGCACAAGGCTGCCCAGCCAAGAGAACAGATGGGAACTGAACTCTGGCTCATACTCTGTACACTGCAAGCCCTGGTGCAGGAAGGCAGGGGGACCATTCTCTAATTCATACTGAAGCATGTTGGGGCTAGGGAGGCTCTGGCAGTGACATGTATTCACTTCCACAGAAGCAGAGTAAAGAGATCCAAGGACGAGTTTCCAGTTCTGCTTTTCATTGCTTGCCAGCCCTGGAGGTGCTCTTAGCTGTTCAGGAGGAGGAGCATCCATTGTGCGGTTGTCTCTGAACATCTCAGGAAAGCAGCAGAAGGCTCCCTGCTGCCTTTCACCACCCCCATGGAAATTCACAGTGGTGAACCTGCCTAGCAGCTCTGATTAAATTGAAAAGTGCTTCCTGAAATACCATTTGCCCTTGTCCAATTGGCAAAACTTCCAAACACTTGACAATATGCCAGGGGCAGGGCTGTGGAAAACAACATTCTTGAGATGGTGTTGTTGGTAGGAATATAAAATGGCATAGCCCCATTGAAGAATTTGACTCTGTCTGGTAAAACTGCATATATGTCTACCCTATGACCCAGCCATTCCACTTCTGGGAACTGATCCCAGAGATCTGCCTCCATGCATACAAAAACACAAGAATATTCACTGTGGCAATATTTATAATAACCAAATAGTGGAAAGAAGTCAAATGTTGACCCATAAGAGATTGATTGCATAAATTACGGTCTATCCATGAAGTAGAGTACTTTGCAGCCTTTAAAAAAAAATAAATAGAGGAAGATCTCTGCGAACTAATGTGGAGGGATTTCCAGGATTTCTTGTTAGGTGAAGAAAGAAGTTTATTTAGAAGTATACTATATTCTGTGTAAGAAATAAGAGGATAGTAAAAATAGGCCTATGTATTTGCTTACACAGCAGGACAAACCAGAAACTAATGAAAATGGTTAAATATAAGGTGTGGAGGACAGAAGGATAAGGATAGGGCTTCTCTGAGTGCAACTTTTGACTTCTGGACCCTATAAATGCTTTGTGCATTCAAAACTGTAAATTTAAAAAAAGGATTTCTAAAAGAAATTTAATACCTAAAATACAAAGAAAACCAAGTATGCCACTTATCAAATTGATAACTACAGAGAGTAACTTTTGAACATGTACTCCGATCATACATTTTTAACAGCTTTATTGAATTACATACCATAAGGCTCACCCATTTTTTAAAGTATACATTTCGTGCAAATCAAAACCATAAATATCATCTCACCCCAGTTAAAATGGCTATTATTATAAAGGCAAACAATAACAGATGCTGACTAGGATGCAGGCAAAAGGGAGCTCTTATATACTGTGGGTGGGAATGTAAATTAATACAGCCACTATGGAAAACAGCATGGAGATTTCTCAAAAAACTAAAAATAGAACTACCATACCATTCAGCAATCCCACTACTGGGTATTTATCTAAAGGAGAATAAATCAGTGTATCAAAAGGGTACCTGCACTCCCATGTTTACTGCAGCATTATTCACAATAGCAAAGATACAGAAGCAACCTATGGGTCCACCAATACACAAATGGAAAAAGAAAATGTGGTGTATAATATATAGTGGAATACTATCCAGCCACAAAGAAGAATGAAATCATGTCATTTGCAGCAACATGTATGGAACTGGAGGACATTATGTCAAGTGAAATAAGCCAGGCTCAGAAAGAAGATTACTGCATGCTCTCACTCCAGTGTGGGATCTAGAACACTTTATCTCATAGACACTGAGGATAGAATGATAGGTGCCAGATACCGGGAAGGGTGGGTGAGTGGGAGTGGAGAATGAAGAGAGATTGGATAGTGGGTACAGACATACAATTAGATAGAAGAAATAAGTTCTCAGGTTTGATAGTGGAATAGGGTGATGATACTTAGCAACACTATTTTGTGTATTTCAAAGTAACTAGAAGAGAGGACTTGAAATGATACCAACATATAGAAATGACAGATATTCAAGATGATGGATACCTCAAATACCCTGACTTGATCATTACACATTCTATGCATCTAACAGTTGCATGTACCCCATAAATATTTAAAATGTTATATATCAATAAAAGAAAAAATACATTTCAATGGTTTCTGTTATATTTACAGAGTTATGCAATCATCATTATAATGTTACTTCAGAACTTTTTCATCCTCCCCAAAAGGAACCTTGTACCCGTTTGCAAGTCCCTCCCAATATCCTCCATACCCTGGCCACCAGCCCTAGGCAACCACTGATCTACTTTCTGTCTTCTGACCATATATCTGTTTAGTGGGATACACTTTGAAGATGATAAAAATACTAACCAATAACATAAACAAAAGCCCTGGAAAGAAATCTCAAATTGTGTGTAGCAGGTTTATTGTTAGTAGTAATATTGCTATTAAAACTGTTACACCATTGATTGTGTATTATAGGATAAGGCAGATGAATATATTTATTACTAATATTATTCAGAACCAAGATTTTTATGGTAAGAAAAAAATGTACAAATACAAAATAAGTGAAGGTAATGAAAACCTTATTTTATGAATAAGAAACATCAATATGAACTCATGAAAAAAAAATTCTAGTTCTATCCACTGAAAGGATCTGGAAGCTCTTTACGACTCTTCTGCAGCAATGAGCACACCTAATACCTAGATCTTGGTATCTCGATATAAGACACCATATTTGTTTGCTATGAAAAGCAAACAGAGCCTGCTGGAGAAATGTTTGATTCAAGATCTGGATCAAGGAAAGTAAAAAGTAATTGGGGATTTTTTTTTGTCCAGAAAGCAAGGAACTGCTTATTGGAGGTCACATTAAAAGGACACAAGAAAGTGTACTCTATGGCCAAATTTGGGACAATTTAAGTATTCCAAAAAATAGTGATGGTAATGGATAATCACAATTCAGTTAAAAATTACAAAAACAAGTTCGTAGAAATATTAATAAAGGGGTGAGTGTGGGGGACATGAAGACAGCTCTTCTTTACAAAAGAATGCCTGCTGATACATGGAGAAGAAATGACAGAATTAGAAAATCACCATTTTGCAATCCCCAGTGGAACAATTGATTTGGGCAAAAGTCATCACTGGATGCTAAAAGCACTGGGTGAAACATATTGGGCACTACATGCACACAGTCGTCTCAAAGCATCATCATGACACTTTGAGTACCATTTCACAGATCATACTTATTACAAAGTGGAAGAAGATACCTTCATAATATAGAGATCTGGAGGCCAACACCTTGACCCAGTGATCAAGGTTGGCATCACCAGCAGCAGGACAGCCTGATGTATGTGCCTTCTAATGGGATGCATTAAGGTATCCATAACATCACCCATGTAGTGTTCTTGCCAAAAATATTTAATTGGAATCTAATCATGAGAAAACAGACAAATCCAGAGTGTGAGGCATTCTACAAGACAACTGGCCAGGGCTCTTCAGAAAGAGCCGATATTGTAAAAAGCAAACTAGCAAACAAAAATATCAGGGTGTATTTTACATTTAAAGGACTCAAGAAAAATAACCACCAGATGAATTGTGTGAATGTTGATTAGATCTTGGTTTTTGAAAAAAATCTGTAAAAGACACCATGGGACAACTGGGGATGTCTGAATGTGGGCTGTATATGAGATGTTCTTTTTGAATGGTTAATTTTCTTAGGTGTAATAATGTGGTTATGTAGGAGAATATCCTTATTCTTAAGAGAAGTTTGTTGAAGTAGTTAGCAGTGGTGTGTTTTGATGTCTACAAAATAATCTCAAATAGTGGAACAACAATAAATATAAATACAGAAAGAACAAGAAATCAAATATGGCAAGTTGAGTGTAAGCAAAAGGTGATGGGTGTTCATTATTTTATTTTTACAACTCTTCTGTAGATTTAAACAGTTTCAAATAAGAAGTTGCAGGGAGAACTTTAAAGTTGCTGAAGTAGGGGGCCTCATATGTGGGGGAGACTTCTCCCATCTGCCTTTCCTGTGGTTCAGCCTGGGCCAGGTCATCTCTTCTGCCATCTGCATGTTCTCTGACTCCTTCCCAAGCTGAAACATCATCTCGTCTCTTGTTTCCACTCAGGTGAAGACCCCCTTGTGGACGATCAAAATGAACGAGATATCAATTCAGTCGCTGGTGTTTTAAAACTGTATTTCCGAGGACTGGAAAACCCACTCTTTCCTAAGGAAAGGTTTCAAGATTTGATATCTACTATTAGTAAGTATTTCCCAGGTGAAATGATCAGTTCTTTGACAAATTATTGTTGGAGTAGAGCTACAGGCTCACTGCTGTGCTAGGCATAGAGGAGGGATATTATGAAAGAGGAAGTATGACCTGCATCCTCTTAGAACTGAAAGCAGAAATAAGAAGATGGTTTATAATGAAAGGGCTAATGGGCATGTCATACCCCCTGGGTAGAGAAGGAGCTCAGGGGAGAACCAGAGGAAGACTTGGTTTCGCAGATCAGAGCCAAGAGAGAGAGTGCTGGGAGCAGAGTGTTCCAGGAGGAATGGGCACAGGGGATCCTGAGAAGGGCTAGGGACATAGACCCAGTGGGACCAGCAGGAGGGTGTCCCAGCCTGTGCATGGCGCAAGAGGTTGGAAGGGAAAAATGGAGCAAGAGGGGGAAGACCTTGAATGCCTTGCAGACATTCCAGAGCTTTTCCCCTTGGGTGATGGGGAGCCGTGGAAGGTCTAGAGGTCAGGTCAGCAGCATGACCAGCAAGGGAAATGGTGACAGTAAGTTGACTGGGGATTTTCTCTGACATTGCTAGTTAGTTGAGAGAAACTGTTATGTTTCTGTGGATAAAATCAGGAGGAACCCAGTCTAGGGGGCTGATATCATGGTACCTTGACTCTGAGATACCCAAATCCAAAGTAACCTTTTGGAAATTTTTTTAAAAATTAAGCTTTCAACTTTAGAATATTAGAATTTTACTCATTTAGAATAAACTTTTAAATTTGATTCACAGAAAAGTTGCCCCACACCCAGTTTCATTTGGGGTGTTTCTCACAGTACTCTGAGAGATATTTGCAGTCAGTAAAGTGTTCCAGGAGATGGCAAGAGAAGAGGGAGGTTTGAGCTCTCTTTTATTGTGTGTGTAAAAGACCCTTCTGTTCCCCCTTCCCTCCACACTATTCCCTGCTCATCCTTCCTGACCTTCATACTGCAAGCTCTATTCTAAACTGCAGAGGTCTGACCCTGTCTGAGCCCTGTATCACTTGCTCAGTCAGTGTTTCCAGAACCCCCAAAAATCCTGTTCCTGTGCAGGGCCCTGAGCAAATTTCAAGTCTAGGATGACCTGGAAACAGGGGTCAGAGATGAGATCCCAAGCATCTGCCAGACTTTGGCTGATAGGTAGTTTGAGAAGTGGTGATTTATTCCATGTTCATTTCCTGAGCAGCTACTATGTGTCGGACCTGTGCTGCAGCTGGTGTTTGTAAAGAGTTTAATAAAACATGGTCCCTGCCTGTGTCTGTCAGGACTCACAGGTAACAGAAACCCAGCTTAAACCTGCTTACTTCATAAAAGGGAATGCACTGTTCGGGTACCTGGAAAGCTTAGGTCCAGCTGGACTCAGACCTTCACATGGCATCAGCAGATATATGCCCCCTCCATCTCTATGCCAGCTTCACTCTTAGGTGGGATCCTCCTCTCGGGGGCCCCCACTGTGCTCCAGGCTTCCCTCTACCCAGGTCCAAGAGGGCACCTCCCTGTGGGTTTCTCACAACCGAAGTCCCAAGAGTCGACTCTGACTGGTTCTTGATTAGGCCACACCTCCAGCCCCTCCCTGTAGCCAGGGAGATGGATGCTCTGATTGGCCAGGCCAGGATCACCTATGATCCCCGGAATCAAGAGTAGAGCTGTCTTCCCCCATCCACGTGGACTGATATAGGAGATGTGGCAAGCGAACATTTGCTGCTTTGCTCTCTGAGGATGAAAGGCACGCTGAAAGGCCCCTTTATGTTACAGAACTGGAGAACCCAGCTGAGAGGGTGCACCAGATCCAACAAATTCTCGTCACCCTTCCCCGCGTGGTCATCGTGGTCATGAGATACCTCTTCGCTTTCCTTAACCAGTGAGTGTCTGGCCATGGGGCCCTTTTTGACTCAGGCCTGGCCTCCTTTGGGAGGGGGTATCTTGAGGCTTCTGCAGATGCTATTTTTGAAGGAGAACATGGAACCCTCCTGGATTTGTATAGAGTCCCCCAAAAGAAAAAAAACACAGGGGGAGGACTTGCCTTTCCCAGATGACTTGTGGGTAACTCCTCTCTCCTAGCCTCTCCCAGTATAGCGACGAGAACATGATGGATCCCTACAACCTGGCCATCTGCTTCGGGCCTACCCTCATGCATATCCCTGATGGGCAGGACCCTGTGTCCTGCCAGGCACACATCAATGAAGTCATCAAAACCATCATCATCCATCATGAAGCCATCTTCCCCAGCCCCCGGGAGCTAGAGGGACCTGTGTATGAAAAATGCATGGCTGGAGGGGAAGAATATTGGTAAGATGCCATTCCTCTTAATATTATTATTATCATCATCATTGTTATTTCCATTGAACAGGAACAATAAGAAACGCTTCAGTTTTCTTACTGCTTGATAGTCAGTGCTTCCATATACATTTTCTCATCTGAGCTTCACAGCAGTCTTACATGAGAGATAGGTACATCAGTTAGGATTCTCTTGGTTACAAGAGACAGACATACAACTCAAATTGCCTTAAGCCAAATGGAACTTTATTGGTTTGCTTAAGTAAAAAGTCTGGGGGTATATCTTCAGGTATAGCTTGATCCAGGGGCTCAACTATTACCGCAAGGACTTGGTTCTGCAGTCTCCATCTCTTGGCCCTGCTTTATTCTGTGTTGGCTTCATTCCCGGACAGCCATTTCCTTGGTGGTTCAAGCAGGCAACCAGCAACTCAAGATCTGTAACTCACTCTCTTAGTATCTTCAATAGAAAATACCCTTTCCTTCCCAAATGTTCCAACACACGCTCAATAACTGTTTCATTGCTGAGGTTTGGGCCTGGTGAAGTAATCACCTTGGTAAGAAGATGCAATGCTTTAACTGGCCATGTGAGTCACAAGCCCAACTCAGGAAGCAGGGGAGTGAATAGTCCCCAGCTCAACTTCATGAACTGAGTATGACACTTACCACCCTTGTTTCCTCTCACCTAGGAGTTCTCTTTTCCAGACAAAGTGAGCTCAGCTTCTTTGTGTGTTCAACACCATGTCAACAATCACTAATTGGGGACCTCTGTGTGCCTGGTATACCTGGTACTACACTAGGTCTTAGGAGAAATATTTTAGAAGCTTTTCAAAGTCAGGGCTTTAAAAGCTTCGCCAGGCTAAGACCTTAAAATGTCAAGACAGGAAAAATGTTTAAATGTGGTGAAGACAGGAAATTCAGGACACTAAATGACAGAGACCAAAGCGTTTTTACTATTTCTTTATTTCCAATTCAAGAGAGCACACAGCTATATATTTAGGTATTACCCACGGCCTTCAGCCAGGTGCCTACAGGGGAGTTTGTTTTTTGATTGTCAAACGTTCCTGGACTTTTGAATTGCCTTAGTACTGTGAGCATATTTGGGCAGCTGCTTCAAAGAAGGAAGGTGTTCCAGCCTTTGTGTTTCCTTCCCACATGCCTCCCTGCATAGAAATACTGGGTCATAGTCATGTCTAATCACAACTCTCTAATCTCGTTTGAGGCACTAGGGGGCAAATCCATCCCTGTTCTGTAACAGAAACATTAAACAGCTGGCAAGCATAATTTCTGGACAAAGAGACTTGTCACACAGATTTTGCAACCATTACCAGTTCTCTTTTCTTGCTGCAATATATATAATTAGTGTTCTGGGAAGGGACCCACAGATCTTCGTGTACTTATCAAAGAACAATATACAATAACCACACTTTTCTTAATCCTATTTGTTTCCCACAAGACTGTAAAACTATTAATTACATGGTAATTTTGGAGTTTTCACAACCAGAAGGGAGACTTGGCTGAGGGTCTCAGCACAGTAGACAACATTCATTCATTCAACAAATGGTTACCAAGCATCTGTTGTGGGCTGGATTCTGTGCTGGGAGTCAGAGATGTAACCAAACAAGATTGGCCCCTGGCGCAGGAGCTCTGATGGAATAGGAAACAAACGGCTCCAGAAGTGGGGCTCCCTGAGCCAGTCTAGGGAAATCAGGAAGGGCTTCCTCGGGGAAGTACAGACTGAGCTGAGACTGCAGAATGAACTGGAGCCAGCCCAGTGAGGAGTGGACCAAAAGACCTGGAGCATTCAGTAGAATGAAAAGTAGTTCAGTGTGACCAGAACATAGCATGTGTGACAGGGGAATGGTGAAGGATGAGGCTCCACAGATCGGATACAGCCAGGCTATGAAAAATCTTGGAAGCCACTGAGTTTGGTCCTGATTCAGGTGGCAGTGGAGAATTTTTCATAATAAAGTACATATTCCTTTAAATGGCATTGCAAATGTCACCTTTGAGAAGCCTTCCCTGTCCACTCTTTATAGGTCCTCTCTGCTGTTCTTGTCTCTGCCCGTTTATTTCCTACCTAACACTACATAACATAACTTGCAACTGTCTTATTTAATGGCATATTGACTTCGGTGTTTTTCTTGCCCCTCTCCCTACAGTGTAAGCAACATGAGGCCAGGGACCTTGTCCGCCTTATCTATCATTGCATCCCTCCTACCAGCACACTGCCTGGCATATTATAACTCACTCAATGGCTCTATTAAAAAAAAAAAAAAAACTGGCTGATTATGTGAATTAACCCTTGCCTCAAGAAGCTTATAATCTAGTAAGGGGGTAGTAGCTGGTGAAATTATACCAGCACATTAACAACTAAATCTGATGGACTGAATTACTCAGCCACCATGCCCATCATGGTTGCCAGTCTACTCTCACTGCCTGCATCAATCGGGGCTTTTGCATGCAGAAAGACAGGGCAGCCCTCTTTAGCTTCATCTTACCTCCTGGGATATGTCACCTCAGCTATAAGACAGGAGAGTCAGGCCAGATGAAATAACTCATAGTACTTCAAAGGGTTCTTTTTGTTCTGCTGGGGTTTTACCACTGCCCTCTGGATCTTACAGAACATGTGAGCATTGACAGTCTTCACCAAGAAGACAGCTCAGCAAATTCCAGGGCTAGGAGGGCACTGGGGGAGATATTTGGGAAGCTTCACAAGGAGGAGGCTGGGAGTAGTTTTCTGATTAAGAATCTCCCAGGAGTGGTCAGATGGAAAAGACAGGATGATATGGGCCTGCATCTGAGCTGCAGGAGGGCCCAGAGGCCAACTGGACTGGCATGAGAGGCTGAAGATGCTGTGAGGGTAGATAACCCCCACAGTGAGTCCCCTTCCCATGTTTCCTTGCAGTGACAGCCCACACAGCGAGCCAGGGACCATCGATGAAGTTGACCATGACAATGGCACTGAACCTCATACCAGCGATGAAGGTGAGTGAGGGGTATCCTGGGGACAAGGGATTCTTCCTGGGGCCTCTCACGCTGACTTTTGTCAGCCCAACCACAGGGCTGGCCCACGTAGACACGTAGACCTCTTCAGCTTTCCAGGTCAGCCATCTGTCCTTCAGAATAGATGAAGACCCAGAAAAACCTTCATGGCGTGCCCCAAGTCCTGGCATGGGCCTGACACAGAGCAGATCCTCATAGGCTCACGCTGTGTGCACCACACCCCACACCTAGCCCACTTCATTCCTTAATGTGTCCTGCCTGGCCCAGGGACAAATCCTAAGTGACACGAGTTTCCTAAGTAGAAAGCAAGCTCTGTTCCTCCATCATTCCCCTGTCAGGGTCGACTCTGTGCCAAGCCTGTGCTGGGACTTGGGCCCAGGAATGAACAAGATGTCGGTTCTCAAGGAACTCGCAGTCTGTCACCAGATCTTGACAGGTTGGAAGTAGCTTCTCATGGTGCAAAGCGATAATGCCAGATTACAGGTGTGTCTGGTGCATTGGGCACCCTGGAGATGAAATCAAAGGGTGATGATCCTGGGAAGTGTATGGTGAGAGAGAGAGAGAGAAAAAAAGGCCAGTCAAGACCTTTCTCCAGATTCTTCCACCCTTTCCAGATAAGGAGAAGAGAGTCGGACTAGTCTCTAGGGAAACTGGACTGCATAGACAAGCAATCTGAACCACATGCCAACTTATCCATCAGGCAGAGTAGGCACAGTGCCAAGGGCCCATGGTACTTGTAGAGGTCCACTAAAATGTTTTAATTTATTTTAAAATCAGAAAAAAATGAACACAATATCCAGTCTGGATTATATTTGTCTTTATACTAATGCAGTTGTCAAATATGATTTTTAACTTTTTTTTTTTTTTTTTTGAATGGAGGAAGGAACCCATGCAGGCAAAAGTGCCTAGGACCCTTGAAAGTTAGAATACGGCCCAGGATGCACCAAGCACCTGGGATGGTTTTCCTTTTTAAATGTCATGGCTTAGCAGTTCTCTTACTTGTCCTTTGTGTTTCTCTTGTGGGACCGGGTCATGTTGGCTACCACATTTGTCAGGAGAGCAGGGCAGGCACTCAGGTGACAGTTCTGGGAACTGGCAAAAGAGACAAGACTGATAGATGGGTTTTCATATTCTAGTAGGACTATATCAGTTGCTAATGACAGAACCCCCAACTCAAATCAACTTAAGCTTAAAAGGGAATAAGTTCCTATACCTGAAAAGTCCCAGAGTTGGTGTGGCTTCAGGCACAGCTGGATCCAGGAGCAAGGGTGATTTTGTCAGCACTTTGTCTGTCTTCTTGTTCTGCTTCCCTCTGTGCTGGTTTCATTCTCATGTAGGATCTTCCTATGCAGTGGTCTCTGGCAATTCCAGACTTTCACCATCATCTTACCCAGAGTCTCAATGGAAAAGAGCTTCCTTTCTATAATGGTTCCAAGAGAGGTCCTGGGGTGGAGTCTCATTGGACTGCCTTGAGTCATGCACCCAGGCATGATCCAGTCCCCGTGGCCTGAGAGGGAGCTAATGAGTCAGACCTGGGTCACAGGTACAGAAAAGCAAATCCAGATATTACGTTCAGCTTGATCAGACTCCTGAGAGGCTAAAGTCATCCTAAACTGAGGAACGTGTCCTGCAGAGGCTTTGTTTGGAGATGTGAAGGCTGCCACCTTCTGCTTATTCCTGGTGATTTGCTTTTCTCTTTCCTCCTTTTTTTCTTCTGCCGACCACCTCCAGTTCTCGCCCTCCCTCTATCCCTTTTAACAGCCCCCACCCCGTCCTCTCCATCTGTTGCTCTTTTTATTTCTGGATCTCTTTCTGTCTGTCTCTTTATCTCTCCCTCTAGCTTGCTCTGTCTCTATCTCTCTCCTACTCCTGACATTTCCTCTCCTTTGTCTTGACCAAAGCACCTGCCCTCCTGGGGGCTGAGGTCCCTGTCAGTCCCTTTGCTGGTTTTTCCACAGTTCCTTGGGCTGATGGGCAGAAGGCTGCTCTGGACACCAGGAATGAAGATGAGGAGGGACAGAGAGAATAGGTCTTGCTGGGTCCACGAAGAAGCAGCCATGGGCTCACCTAGTGGGGCTTCATCCGCATAAGAACCACCCACCAGAAAGTGCTATGTCCCCCTTCTCAGGGTAAACGTTCACAGTGGCTCCCAGAATGCATGAGTCAGAGCTTTGGGTCCCCCTCCCAGAAGATCCTTCTTCCTTTTGTTCTTTGTGAGGCTGCTGGTTTCTGGGAATGACAAAGGCAGGAAAAATCATCCTGGAAGGGAAGAAGCCACAGGCTGGGAGAGCCAGTTTCATGTTCCCTGAAGGCTCTCAAAATATCCTGTGTGTATTAGTGGGGGGTATTGAATCAGGGCACTCTTTGGTGGAAAATCAATTACATTTTCTAAATGTTACATTCATGCCGTCCCTGGCCAAAGAGTGGCAGAATAGGGAGCTGCAGAGACAGTCAAGGGGTCACCGTGCTCAGAAAAGAGAGACCTGGAATTGAAGCACAGAGGGAGTCCTTATGGTCATGTAATCTGAGGGAAGCCACATCACCTCTGGCCTCTGTTTCCTTATGTATAAAATGGGAATGACAGCACCAAGCAAATTATGGCATGCGTTAAAATATGGGTTAATATGTGAAGGAGCCTAGCACAGTGCCTGGGACAGGGAGGTAGATAAGAAACATCAATGGACTCTGTATCAAACAGACATCCTTCCTAATCCTGATAGAGAAACTGAGTCCTGGAGAATTTTCTTGACATAACTGGCATTGGCAGTTATCGGTCATTGGTAACCTAAACCTCCTGATTTGTTTACCTATTTCCTCTTAGACATTTCATTTAGGGGATCATCAATATCTGTCTTCTTTTCTCTTGACAGCACCCTGTATGAATGGAACCCAGCAGGCCTCAAAGGTCAAATCAGGCAGAGAACCATGAGTCCAGGTCTTTGTCGTACATGAATCAGCCAATGAATGCCAAATTGGAGGAACAATTTAGTTGTTTGGGTATCTGTTGCGTTTCTTGTCTCAAAGATTCTGTACCAGCTGGGCGTGGTGGCTCACACCTGTAACCCCAACACTTTGGGAGGTTGAGGTGGTCAGATGTCTTGAGCCCAGGAATTCTAGACCAACCTGGGCAACATGGTGAAACTCCATCTCTGAAAAAAAAAAATACAAAAATTAGCCAGGCATAGTGGCATATGCCTGTGGTCCCAGCAACTCAGAAGGTTGAAGTGGGAGAATTGCTTGAGCAATTGAGGTTAAGGATGCAGTGAGCCATGATCATGCCACTGCACTCCAGCCTGCGTGACAGAATGAAGCCCCATCTCAAAGAAAAAAAAAAAAAGATTCTATACCTAACTGACGCCTGTTCTCCTGTCTTGAGTCTGATAAGTCTGGAAATTCCACAGTGCTTTCTCTTTGGTCTCCAATATTTATATAAAGAAACCATGGTTAGGCCAAGAATCCTTGACTAAATGAAAAAATGAAGGCAGCCTGTCACTAACAACTTTATTAATTGGAAGCTAAATGAGAAACAAGATTGTTAGATTATAAAACTACTAAAACCAGTGACAGAGGCATGTTTTATGGGTGATATGTCCATATTCAATTATAATTGTGCCACCATTCTCTTACTGATATTTTCCTGAAATTTTTGAGGTTACCTTTGACTCCTCCCCCA